CGATGTTTCACCGATCTCTCTTTGCAGTATTTTGCGACCGCATGCCAGTTTTCATCTGTCACGCCCTTAAAGTCGGACAGATAGTCCCACTCAGTCCTGAGTCTAAGCAAATAAAAACACTAACAAATGAAAAAGTATCTGTAACCAACGCACACTTATTCATTGTTAAAAGGATCAAACTACATGCCTTATTTTTTATTTGTTTTGGCGAATCATTCAGATAAATGCACGATACTGAATCCGATGCTGCCATTTTTGACTTGGCACCTTGCAGAGCCGGCAAAAATGAGCTGTATATCATGGCTGGCTTTGGACATTTCAGTCGAGGCGCAACGTCGCGACACATACGGAAATATGGATCCTAAAAAATACACAGGTTATAGGGGCATTCAATACCGTGCAAGAAAGAATGCATAAAATCTTACTGCTCGAATAACATGAAGTCAGAATTACATATAACAACAGCATGTTAAACTAAAAACGAGCCCTACTGAAGAAGAAAGGTACGAACCTGATCGATTGCGCAAGGAATGATGCAGGGAATGTCTTTTCGCCCGTTGAATATTTGTGGAAAACTGCTACTGAAGCACGGAGCAGCTTCGATAGCTGGAAAAAATACCTTGCCTATCGAGTCTTCTCTGCTTATTCCAAAAATTGCATGCGCCTGATTGAACGTTACTTTCTTCGATATTTTCAGCACATTTGTGAAAAAGGCCGGGCTAAAAGCACAGTAATCATTCATACAAGCAGCACTGACTGTGAGCAGCAAGTAAACGATTTGTTAAAGCTCAGTAGATTATTGGTTAAAAGCTAACCACATATACTCAGTGTCTAGGAAGATGAAAGTTGTTTCTGGATTAAGACCACAAGCAATGATATCTTTCATATTTTCATTGGCCATCTTCTTGACTTCCTCCAACGAGTGCTCTTTCCAAAGGTACTTTTCATCATCTGTCATCTGAAAAAAAAAGCAATAAAAATACATCCAATATCAAAAACAGAACACTCGGAAGCCCTGGTGAAAAGGCTATTTATTATCAGTTAAATGAGAATATTCTATTCGACAATTCGAACTGATAACGCCTTTTGAATGACATTTTGCGGAAGCAAGATACTCGCGCTGCGGTACCTTTGCTACCATTCCAGGACTATTCATGACGCTTGCTGAAAATGCCTTAAACTGTACATATGACTAACGGTTCACAATCGAAACAATCTATGCAGTGACTGGGTTTCTCAAGGACAGATTCTATCTTGAAGTTTCCAGTGAAGATACAGGAGTAAGGCATAAAGCTATAAAATAATCACTTATTCAAAGCGCTTTTTTTGGAAGAGTATGCTCTTGCAACTGTACCATGTACCACCAACGAAATCACAGCGTATATTACAAATATCGAAATTCAGCCAACTGTAGCAAAATGTGGGGAGTGCAAGGTGCCTCTTGTTCTGAACAATTACCTGGATAATGAGTGGAACATCAAAAACATCCTGCAACCATTTGGCGAACAAAAACGGGATGAGATGCCCGAGGTGCAAACTGCCACTACTCGGACCTCGGCCAGTATACAGGAAGAACGGTTTCTTCTGCTCCACACGATCAAGAATCAATGACAGGTCACTGAAATTCATTGCTTATTCAGCACAGATGCTACCAGAGTGTTCCAGTTAACACATTCGAACAGCGAATGCCGTTGATCAACCTACAGTTCTCACTAGCCTCTTTTCTCTGGCGCATGCGTCATCTGTCTACTTCTGGATGGCAGAATTCGGAGGACCAAATGAAATTATCCTCAAAAATTTACCGATGAGCAAAAAATAATCCACGACGTAACATCGGATGCGCCTTCTGGTTAGTTATACGCTCAAGTCGTGCGATTAAATCTTCCGATACTTTAAAGCAACCAAATTTAGCTGAAAAAAATATCAAACGAACATGTCATAGGGTAGAAAATTGCATCCATGCAAATAGTAAACACAGAATCTCATATTCCTGCAATACGCAAAGGCATGGTGACACATCCAGACAACCAGCAGCCAGAGAATTTTGAATCACTGTAACTACCAAACAAAGGACATTAAATTCATGCAACTGTTGTGAGAGCATCCACAAAATCCCAGGGACGTATCAGACGCAAAGCGCCACATCCATGCAACTAGACGTAGAGAGGCGTTCAATTTCAGTTCTTTGCAAATATTAGATGTATTCAGTGCAGTACAGGGGGCCTGATCCCGTACCCCTGCAGCTACTACACATAAGGCACTAAACCCATTTAACTGGCAAATGCAGAATCCCAGACCCCGGCAACTACTAGATACAGGCTTCATACCCATCACATCCCGTGCAAATC